GTGTGTGTGTGTGTGTGTGTGTGTGTGTGTGTGTGTGTGTGTGTGTGTGTGTGTGTGTGTGTGCGTGTGTGTGTGTGTGGGGGGGGGACCAGCAGCAGCAGTCAACGCGTCTTTCAGAGATGCATCGGAAATCACAACTCTGGCGAGGGATTGTCAGCATTGCATTAATTGAAGGTCGAAACCTGACTCCCATGGACCCTAACGGCCTAAGTGACCCATACGTCAAGTTCAGACTGGGGCAACAGAAGTACAGGAGCAAGGTTTGTCCGCTGCGATCTCTGTGGTGGCGCTTTTTTAGTTTTTACATTTGAGCATATCCTCACCCATTGTTTCTGTTGCTTCATGTTGTGTGTGTATGTTCAGACTGTGGCAAAGACCCTGAGTCCACAGTGGAGGGAGAAGTTTGACATGCATCTGTTTGACGAGACAGGAGGAGAGTTGGAGATCACAGTGTGGGACAGAGACACCGGCAGGAGAGATGACTTCATTGGACGGTCAGTCTGGCTTTCTGTATCAGTGCTCTGCTCCACTATGAGTCTGCCGGTCGAAGGAGCACCATGTTTTTCATATCCATTAGATCATTTTTGTGGGTAATTAACTTATATGTATCAATCTTCTGTAGGATTTTTCCTGTAATTATTAGTGAATTATAATATTCTTTAATCCTACAAAAACTTTTGATGCATGGCTATCATCACCTGCTCACTTGTTTTCTCTGGTGAATGACATTAGTTATTAGATTGTATGATAACACAGAGTATCAGTAGGTGCATTAGCTGTTTTCCTTCCTGGTTAGTTAAATGCATTCTGAGGTAATCTTCAACTCCCTGCTACATCCTTGCTCTGTTATTTTATCCCTATTTAAATCTGAAATGGCGACATTGTGTTCGTTGCCCAGCTGCCAGCTGGACCTCTCTGCTCTGGCTAAAGAGCAAACCCATCACCTGAAGCTGCCACTGGAAGAATCCCAGGGGTATGTGGTGCTGCTGGTCACGCTCACCGCCTCTGCCCACGTCTCCATCGCTGACTTGTCTCTCACACCGCTGGACGATCCACAGGAACACAGGGAGATACTCCAACGATACGTAGGCAGCACTCAAGTGTCTTATTACTAAAACATCATGAAAGATAACAGAGTGTGACACTTTGTGCCCTCTTTCCCTCTCCAGAGTTTGCTGCAGTCATTCTCTAACTTTAAAGATGTGGGCATAGTGCAGGTCAAGGTGATGAGAGCAGAAGGTCTCATGGCTGCAGATGTGACTGGTAATCAAGTTGCCTCCTCTCATTCATCATGCATTCATGGCCATAGTTTTGGTTGCTCCTAATGTACTTTAAAGTGCTACAATACTGCCACACATAATATTATACACTCATTGTTTCCTCAGGTAAGAGTGACCCTTTCTGTGTGCTGGAGCTGAATAACGACAGACTTCAGACACACACTGTTTACAAGAACCTAAATCCAGAGTGGTACAAAGTCTTCACCTTGTGAGTGACCATCAATTTTCTGTTTTATTAACCTGTTACCAGACAATCCTGTGTTTGTGCACAAGCCCTGAAGGGACATACTTGAAATAAAAGCAGATTTGGAGTGTAAGAGACACTGAACCAAGGTACAGAAGCACAAAAATGGCCGAAATTGACTTTTTTGTCTCCCCAGTTTGAGTGATATAGGGATGATAAAATGTAGAATAAAAAAGGAAGGGAGACGTAGAGCTATAGGCCAAAGTGTCCCGCAGGTGGGGAAATGCATATTAAAACATTAAAAAAGATGGATTGTCTTTGTGTCTTAACTCGAGTTTAACTTACTTTTCTAGTTGGCAGCTCTTTACGGGGCATCTATCAGGATATCAGAAGAACTTCTCAACCTGTGAAAACAGTTGTATAATGTCATTGAGGTAGGAAAGAGAAAGAACTTGGAGATGACAGGGATACAGAATTAGTAAGAAAGGTAGGACAGATTTAAAAAACCAAAGAATGAACAGAAAGTAGAAACAGTTTTAATGGATGTTAACGATATCTAGTTTAGTCTGATGCATCATTATCTGCTTTTTCTTCATTATGTCTCTGTTTTTTCCTCAGTAATGTGAAAGACATTCACTCATTGTTGGAGGTGACAGTGTTTGATGAAGACAGAGACAGGAGCGCTGACTTCCTGGGAAAAGTTGCCATTCCCTTATTGAATGTGAGTGCAAGAGACACCGAAATCACAGGACATCTCGAGCTGTGTTATATACCTTGTACTGTATGTTGTTGAGTTGTGTGTTCTTACAATATTTTTTTCAAAGCTAAAGAAATATGCAATTTTAATCGAGGTATAATTTAGTTGCCTGGCAGTGGTGTCATATCTCTTTAGTGCATGTGTAAGAGTAAAAAAACAGTCAAAACCCAAAATATAATATATAAATATATAAATAAATATATATATAGTTTTATGTCTAATTGATTCACTTTTATTATAGAGCTTTGATCTTTTAACTTCCTATTATCACTATAACATATGATATATTATTGTTATATGGTTTTACTTAATGTTTTTTATGATAACTGTTATATTCAGGCACATCATGTCTAACAGCAATACAGTTATTCAAAATTGAACACTAATCACAATTCTCCCTAAACTTAGTTTGAAAGTGTGAAGTGAGTGGGTTCAAACTGTTAAACACTTTTAAACTTCAAGTTCATTTCTGTCAGATACGAAATGGTGAGCAGAAGAGCTACACACTAAAGAATAAGGAGCTGACGGGTCCAACCAAAGGAGTCATCTACCTAGAGATCGATGTCATCTACAACACTGTGAGTGTCAGTCTGTTCTGTGCATGAGGGACTGTTACCTGGTGTTTACTTGTGATCGGTGATCCTATCACTGTGCAGCTCTAAGTTCAGTTTTTCTTTAGAGCATTTTAGATTTTAGATTTGATCACTCAAAACACATTCAGAGGTGGGCTGGATGCATGCGTCCTAATTCTTTTAGCTGTGTGTGTTTCCACGGCCACATTTAAGGACCACCTCGTCAGCTGAACTCGGACCCACTACAGCCTCATGCTGAAACAAAAATATTTGTATTTATTTGTGACTACTGCCACATTATTAACACTGTATGCCACTAAATTCTTTGTGGAGCTGCACACAGCACATTTATTCACTCTTTGCATAAATTGAGAAAATAAATCTGATCACTGGTGGTCCACTTACCTGAAGATCAGCTGCTCAATCCCTGTCTCCCGATTCATGAGACGAAGTGTCATCTTGGGCAAGATACTGAATACTGAAATGCTGACAGCTGTGCCAGAAGTGTATGAATGATGTATGATAGAGCGCTTCTCATAGATGCACTGTGTGAATAGGTGGATGGCAATACTGTACTGTAAAGTGCTTTGAGTGGCCATCAAGACGTTGTATGATTGTATGATCTATATACAGACCATTTACAGACCATAAGTGGTCACTGGAGACACATGCAGAGACACATTCTAATGTCGGGCGTGAACTGACAAACTCAGAGCTGTCCACTTGTGACCAGGGCACCAGAGACACATGTTAATACCAGGTCTGAACAGGTGGGGGAAAGAACATTGTACCTAAATACAAACCACATTGGTAGTGTGGTAATGGAAGGACTTTACTCAAGTAAAGTCTTGTCCACTACTTTCAATTGCTGCACACTTATACTCCACTACAGCAGACAAATCTTGTGCTTTTTATTCCATCACATATATATTTGATAGGGGAATTTACTTTGCAGATTAAGATTTGACATAAAAAACATACAATAACCCCAAAAAATACAAAGCAGTAGCATAGGGATGAACCTTTTTGGCTTGTAAAACAGTGAATGGTTGGGGTCAATGACTGTTTATAAAGATAGATGACATGACAGATCCCAAAAGTAAAATGTGATGCTATGAAAAAAGGATGAGATGTTATGGTTGGGGCTACAACAGTTACTTGAGTTATTCTAATGACTTGAATAAAAACATCCTTGATTCAAATTGTTTGCGTCAAAGCTTTGTTTAGTTCATGTAACTATCAATCAATCAATCAAATTTATTCATATAGCACGGTATCACAACAAACAGTTGTCTCAGGGTGCTGCACAAAAGTCCAAGATCTTAAGAAACACAAAATCTAACTTGTTCCACACCGAGCAAGCATGAGCAACAGCGGGGAGGAAAAACTCCCAGGTGGATGAAACCTCCGGCAGAACCAGGCTCGGTGTGGACGGCCTCTGCCAGGACCTGTTGGGGTGATGGAGAAAGAACAAGTAATAGAGGGGGACAAAAGGAAATAAAGCCAGGACGGGCTCCGGAGAGCCGCACAGTATGGACCAAGGAGGGGAGGAGAAGACCCAAGGAGTTAGAGATATGTAATAAGATATAACAAAATAAACCAGGCAGAGAGTGAAGAAGAGAGAAGGTGCTGGTTTCTGGTGCCTGATGGGTGATCCCCCAGCAGTGTAGGCCTATAGCAGCATAGCTATGGATGACTATGGTTCAGGGTTGAGCTAAAAGCTTTATCAAAAAGGAAGGTTTTATGTCTAGCCTTAAATGTAGAGACTGTGTCTGCCCCCCTGACTGAGAGTGGGAGCTGGTTCCAAAGGAGAGGAGCTTGGTGACTAAAAGTTCTACCACCCATTCTACTCTTAGTACTACAGGAGGCACTACAAGGAGTCCCGAGTTTAGGGAGCAAAGTGGTCTGTGGGGGCAGTAAGGGGTTAAGAGCTCTTTAATATATGATGGGGCCTGATTGTTGAGGGCCTTATAAGTCAGTAGGAGGATTTTGAACTCTATCCTCTGTTGAACAGGGAGCCAGTGAAGTGAAGCTAGGATAGGAGTAATGTGATCCCGTCTTCTGGTTCCTGTCAGTACTCGTGCAGCAGCGTTCTGCACCAGCTGAAGGGTTTTTAAGGATCTGCTGGGACACCCTGATAATAGGGAGCTGCAGTAGTCTAGCCTAGACGTAATAAAGGCATGAATCCGTTTTTCAGAATCCTGTTTTGACAGGATGTGTCTGATTCTCTTTATATTACGCAGATGAAAGAAAGCTATTCTGGAGGTTTGACTAATGTGGAGTTCGGAACCAGGCGGATATCATCTAGGTTAACCGACTGGTTAGACAGAGTTTCTCTGAGATGCCTAGGACCCAGGATTACGACCTCAGTTTTGTCTGTGTTTAACAATAAGGAATTCTGGGTCATCCAGGCCTTGATGTCTTTAAGATAGTTTTGAAATCGAATTAAACTATGTACTGTTCAGTATAATCACCGTGTTTCGCAGGAGGACCTGCTGTGGGCAGCCTCACTCTTGTGTCATTGGTGGCCTAAGACACAGTTTCATGATTAGAAATTGTCGATCACTTCTTGTCATAACATATAACTGTGTTTGTTACAATTGTGTAATGTGCGGTTCGCTCTCTCCCTCTCTCAGACACTTCGACATGTCTGTGTTGAGTTAGTCTTTGTATAGTTTACAACATGTGGTGGAAATGTATCTCCAGATGTGAAATAAAGAGTTTCTCAGACCATAGGTGGAGAAACATTTCGTAAACCAATGTTCCATGATCATAGCTAACATCTCCCCTTTTGACACATGGTCTTTACCATGAGTCAACATAGCATAATGAGGGAAGAAATATTTACCATACCACACACCAGTTCGAAACGTAGCACCGGAAGCCTTTCGCAGGGAGATCTCAGGAGGAGTGGCAGTGGACTGAACTGCAGAAAGAGAGGAGGACATGTCAGATGTGACTGCAACAGCCTGTGTACTTGAACAGTGGGTTTGTTCGACCTGCCGATTTAGTTAAACGGTTAAAGGATTTACATATAAAGCTTTCCTAGTCTTGATGACCAGTCAAAGTGCTTTACAGTACAGTTTTCCATTCACCCACTCATTCATACAGTGCATCTATTAGCAGCACTTTTTGTTCAATTCAATTCGAGGTTCAGCATCTTGCCCAAGGAGTGGGGATTGAACTGCTGACCTTCTGGTTTAGAGGACGACCGCACTACCCCTCAGCCACAGCCACACAGTTGCTTGGTGTTTGAATTGTGTTCAGTGTTGTGTTTAGCTGAGCTCCATGACTATGCTCTTATGATATGTGAGTTATAGATTCTGCTCTGACTTAAGAAGTTAAATAAGACAAAATTAATATTTAAATGAAAACTTGAATAATCAGTAGAATACTTGAGAAGTAAAATAATGAATAGCTGCAGCCTTTGTCATGATTGACAGCTGGTATTACGAACACTAATGTGCAAACAGGTGGAGACATGTCCATCTTTATACAGTCACCGATTGAGGACCCTTCCCTTTTCACAAGAAAACCAAGACAAGGAACGATTAGGAGATTATTTGTGCAACAGAAAGGTGTTTTTTCTTCATTCTCGTTAATCACCTTAGGACCCTACGGGTCATGTAGTGTAATCATGTAATGGTGTGTATCTGGAGATTATTGTAGAACCAATACAGTTACTTTTGATCCTTGACACAATTACTTGTGCATGTTTACTCAATAAAGCAGGATTGTGACATTCTTGACTTGTTCTAAGATCTTAGTATTTTTGCATTTTACTGATTAGATGTTAGTGATCAGAGGCCAAAGTCACTGTGACTTTACTAAACAAGCTTTTGGCCTCAGGGTGGATTCAAGGAAATCCCTGCAAAGTCACAAATGTTCTCTCTGACCCAAATATAAACATTTGGCCAAGATTTCAAACAAATGTGTAAAAGCAAAAAACAATGATGTGATGACATTTTTTATCCCAAAAGTAAAAAGGTTCAACTTAACTGTGACATCATGTTTCAGGGTCATCATTGTGTACACCTGTGATGCCTGAACCCAGTCACCCCCTGCTCTAAGATCCTTTTTTGTTTCTCCTCAGGTCAAAGCTGCTTTGAGGACTGTGGTCCCTGCAGAACAGAAATATATCGAGGAAGAACCAAAAGTCTCCAAACAGGTACATTCATACTGCATGTATTATTATGATAAAATGAGTGATGATGGGACTCTCTTTACAGATGGCTGACAAGCTAATAATGAGATAA